TGGCCGTCCAATGGCCGGTGACCGATCTGCCTCACCCGGGAAGAGCACAATGATAATACCAACATGGGCCAGTGAAGCGACGTCCTCCACAACTGACTGAAGAACAAAAGGACAGCAACTTGTCTGTTCCCCTTTCCCGGTTCCCCAGCACTGTTCCCCTCCCCCAATTCCCCAATAAAATCTTTTTTAAAAAAAAGAAAAGAAAAGAAAAACCAAGATTCAGAGAAGACAAGTGACGGGGCCAGGGTCATGCACTAGGAAACAGCAGAGCCAGAGCTTAGACTTGTTTTATCAATCTAATCCTTTGCTATGTCCACTGATAATCACAAGGATGTAAAACATTGTCAATGGGTATAGGTTAGAAATGACCACAAGGCCATGCAAACAGAGATCTTGTTGAGATAAGACGGTTCTGGGTATCATTAAACTGAAAATCTGAGAGGCATTCAAAGCAGACCAAGGCTTCCTGGAGGAAGTCAGGCTGGGACAGGACAGGTAGTGAGAAGTCACAGCACTGAAGCACTTAATCCTTCATTTATTCCATCATTCAACATGTGTCCGCATGTACTCGGTGCTAGGCACTGGGGATACAGAGATGAAAAAGACTGAGTTCCTGCCATCATCAAAAAGCTCTGTTCAGGAGAGAGTAATAGATTGTGACACCAAGTGGTAAGTGCTGTGTTATGAATACCATGCTCAGGAGTTGGTAGAGGGCTTTAGAGAAGATGTAGCATTTGATAAGTGTCTTGAAAGAGGACTAGAAGTTTGCCTGGTGGATGTGTCCCATTACCAAGGGCAGACAGAAATTCAGGTCAATGGTCATCTTCTGGAAAAGTCATCCTTGAGCACACCCAGGCTGGAGAGGGGTCCTTCCTCATGGGCGACAGCCTCACCCACCTCTGTGCTCTGTGTGCAGGGAGGCCAGACCGCGCTGATGCTGGGAGTCAGTCACGACAGGGAGGATATGGTTCACGCGCTACTGAGCTGCCAGGCAGATGTCAACCTGCAGGACCATGGTGGATCGTCGGCCCTCATGCTGGCCTGTCGCCATGGCAATGCCGACATGGTGCGGCTGCTCCTGGCACACCCGGCCTGCGACAGCAGCCTCACTGACAAGGTGAAACTTATAGGCAATTAACAAGTGGGTGTTTCGTTTCCCTTCCTGAGAAGTTCCTTGCCAGCCAGCAGAACTAAGGGAACCATATGGCAGTAGCAACAGAACTGCCCTCATAAGGCTGTTGTGGGGTTTAGATGCAATGATGCATGGTAAATGCGTGGAGCCTTGGAGCTGAGAAACCTCAGAAACCTAGCCTTTCACACCATCATGCCCAGGCCTGGCTTTGGCCCTGAACCTCATCTGATCACCCCAATACCAGCATGTGGGCTTTAAGGCAGCAGCTTGGATGGGGAACCTCTGCTGCCCACAGGGACTTCCAAAAGGCTGGAGAGAGGAACCAAGTATAAATTATGTCTACTCTCTGACAGTGATCCACCTTACAGAGTAGCCCATTTCATAAAGCCAACCTGGTTGAAGTCGCCATGTCAGATACATGGTTCTTAAATAAACTTCCTGAAAGGTGACGGTGATGATGGTGATAATAATGGTGATGGTGACACTTATAATGACAATAATTATAACAGTTCCTATGCATCAAGGGCTTTCATGGTGCCAGGTACCATACTAAGCATTTACCATGGACCATCTCGTTGAAATCTCACAACAACCTTGTGAGGTTGACTCTGTTGATGCTGCCCACTTGTTCACAAGGAAACAGAGTCACTGAGTGATTAAGTAAGATACCCCAGATCACACAGCCAGGGGAACCCAGCTCCGTCAAACTCCTAAACCCAAACTCTTAATTGCTGCATCATCGTTGCTGTTGTCACATTGCAGGGTCCACGTCTCCAGTTCCCTGCTGACCCCTCAGCACCTAGTAGAATGTCTGCTATATATCAGGAGAATGAATCAACAGTTGAATGAATGAATGAACCCCTAAACTTCAGAGGTAAATCGTCAGGATATGATCCTATGACTTATAATTGCAGTAGGTAGTATTTCTAGAGTACCCACAGGGACTAAATTCTTTCCATGCATTATCTCACTAATCTTCTCAATAATCAAGTGAGGTAGATACTGCCATCGACCCCTATTTTTTTACTGATAAGGAAACAGAGGCCTAGAGAGTTTGTGTAGCTATTATAAGGTCACAAGCTGCTCAGATGCAAGCCCAGGTCTGACTGGAATGTCCTTAGTGTTGGCACTATAATTTAATGCTTTAAACAGACTTCTCTATACCTTCTTAATACCCACAGTTCAAAAGGAATAAAGGCCTGGAGAGGGGAAGACAGTCCCCTCCCTTCTCAGGAACAGTCCCTCTAACTAGGCCACGGCTGAACTACCCAAGATTGTTCCATCAGTGAGTGAACCCACACACCACACATCAGGCAGCAGTCCAATGTCTTCAGGTCCCATGATCCCCATCTCTACCCCAAAGCTATTTCTGAGATAATTAGAGAGCACAGACCCTCAAGAAATGTTTGCAGGAACAGTGATAACTCCTGTTCTAAACATTATAGTCAGACAAAGGATCTGTGTTAATGAGCTCCCCGCAGGGTTGCCCTGGGGGGAGAACGAGGCAACCCCTTAATCAGGAACAGGCCCGGGGCCCTCTTAGGAGTGACCACTCCTGTTTGCCTCGGGGAGGCCTGGGAAGAACAGGGGCAGGAACTTTGGAAGTCCCTGGCTAGCTGGGATACTAATCAGGCAGTGACTCGGAAGCATCCCCTGGATACCTCTGGAGGTCTCTCACACATAAGAGAGAGCTAAGTGGCTGCTTTCAGGAGGTGGAGAAAGAGTCGTGGAAGGAGAGCTCTGNTCTTCCCATTCCTGACCTCCAGGAAGTGGAGCACATGATCTGTAACCCTGTGTAGGAGGCCAGAGGGGGAGTGTAAATGGGCATCAGAAAGTCTGAATCCTGGAGCCAGTGGCTTTCCCCCAACTTCTCTGCTCCAGCTTTAAATCGCTCCCATGGCTTGCTTTTAGAATGGAAGGCAGCTTCCTTAGCCTGGCCTTCAGAAATCCCACATGCCCTGCCTCCCAGCCTTTGCTGTCCTTCCCTCCACTTCAGCCACACTGACCTCAAACGCACCAAACTCGTTCCCTCCTTGGGACCTTTGTATTTTCTTTATATCTCAATTATTTTCCCTGAAACACTTCTCATGACTGACTCCTTATCATTCAAATCACAGCTGGAATGTCACCCCCTCAGATGGCTTCCTGGTGACTCCATCTAAAGTGATTTCTCTCTCTCTCTCTCTCTCTCTCTCTCTCTCTCTCTCTCTCTCTCTCTCTCTTCCTTCCCCCCTTTCCCCGTTTCTTTCTTTGGATGATCTTTGCTTGTCATATCTACCCAACAGAACTCAGTTAACTCAGTCATAAGGCTCTCTTGTCTGTCTCCTTTCCTTTTGGTATCTCCAACACCTGAACCAGTTCCTGGCTCTTAGCAGGTGTTGAGTGGATATGTATGTTAAGTGAATGAGTAGATGAATGACCCCTGGGAGCTAGGTTAAATTTCAGTAAACTTCCAATTGTCCAAAATTCCATGAAGCAGCCTTTAGGCTCTTCACCTGAATCAGTAGGTTACATACGTAATGACAGCCTAAAGCTCTTCCTGTGTCCCACCTCATCAGAGGAAGATGAAGTTACAATTTTAACAATGAACTACTTTTACTGGATTTCAGTTCTTCGTGGATTCACAGATACCATAAAAGTGGTAGCTCAGTTGAGAAAGACACATCATTAAATGGAGATGCCTCTATGTTCTGTTTACTGGATTCAATGTTAGGGGCTTTCATTATAGAATATGAATAACAATGATACCTGCTGCTTTTTTTTTTTTTTTTTTTTTTTTTT